TATCATGATTTACATGAATTTAATTTGATAAACAATAAAGTTACATCGTTTATCTTACTTTTGTATATTACAAATACAATAATAGAAGAAGAGATATATCTTCATTTATAAGATATAGTATAAAAGATGAATGTCTTGCAATATTACTTGAATAACATCACATTGTCATTAATCTCATAAAAATAGTAATTGTTGATAAAAAGTAAGACATGTGAATTTATTATATAGACAATACCGCATCTTACTTGATCAGAACGTATAACATATTCGAGAACAAAATATTGTAATAATACTCACCGTTAATAATTAAGAACACTTTATGTTGTGATGAAACTAAGATAAGAAAAATGTGATGCAGTAACATTAGAAGAAGGAGAGATAACGGTTTTCTATAATTTTTATTTGCCTTTAGAATATAATGATACACAGACAATGAATTTTTCGAGACGCTATTTGTGTTAAATAACGTTGAATTGTTGTTAGTTCTCGATAAAGATTATTCTATAAAAAATTCAATTTAGAAAATGTTCAGACATTGAAAAGACTGATATTAAGAAGCAGTCAATTCATAGAATAAATTTTTCATGCTGATTTATTTTTAACTAGGAACAGAGGATACCCAGGTGTATTCCGAGGATTTTAATGAAAATGATATAGGATTTTGAAGTCGAGTATACCTATTTCATATGTGAAACAATTAGGTGCTCTTGTTACCTTATTGAAAAACTCTGGACAAAACACATGCTTCACTATACAGATTTTTTCTTAGAAGCTTTTAAAAACTCTAGTACATTTTCTCTCTACGTATTGTGTATCTTCTTCGATTTACAAGCTCTTCCTATTTTCATAACATCACTCCAGATTGTTTATATCAACAAATAGCTAAATTTTTCTCGTCCTTGATTAAATATGCCTGATATTCACTTTAGTATATATCAGAAGATTCTTATCAGTTTAAGAATGTTTGTAATGCATGTTTTTCTTTCGACTATAAGTTATAGTCTATGACAGTGTGCAGCGACTTTTCTTTCGTTTGCGTTAGCCATTATCATCGTATTATTTGCATTAACCACTTTTTGTCAATGATCACAAGCATTGATAACAGAAAACTTCGTCTTTGTTGTAAAAAAAGTATATTGCTCTATACCCATTCTTATGAAAGCTACTGTAGCTTTTGAAACACTTTCTATTCAATCGTTGGTGGTACAATAAATC